TCGCTCGCCATTTCATTGTTTAAAGCTGATACAAATCATGTTACCGGGCACCGTGAAGACTCTTCTTCTCGTGGGGTAATGGGTGGGAAAGGTCTACTCGGACGAAAGTAAACGCATAATTATGATCGAACTTCACAAAGTTCGTTTGATCATACAATTATGCTAACAACTTTCGTCCGAGTAGACAAGTGTAGCTGTTTAAAGCTAAATGATTTGTATCCCATACGACATATTTTATCACTGTTGACTATTTCTTTGATTATATTAAGTCAACGGTACTTATATAACAGGAAACTATAGATTACCAATCTAAGTATACGTATACGTAAATAACTAGTTTACCTTATCAAGGCCTTATTAAACTTAAAACAAAGAACGTTATAATGCAAACATAATCACGAGTTAGATTATAAAGACTTATTAAGGATAACTGCTGTCGCTATATCTCCCGTTGGTACTAACGGGCGATTATAAAACTTAGCGAAGGTAGTCGAATTATGCGACCAACCCGCTGAGCGACGAATCTCGTCAATATTAATGCCAAGACGTGCCGCTGACGAGGAAGCGGCGTGACGCGTCGAATGTGTTGAAAAAACTGATGTATCAATTCCGCCTTCAAATAAAATTTGTTTGACCCATCTACTGATCGTTTGTGACGAAGCAGCACGGATTCGTTTACCATAAGTTAATAAAAGTGCATCCGAAGAGCCTGGTAATACATGCTTAGTCTTATCCATGTAATAATGAAGTATAGTCACTATACATAACGAAGGATGGTCCTTAAACCTCGGGAAAGACATATAAGGCTGGTTACGATTGATTCCGGAAGTCTTAACCCGATCCGGAATTTTAACGATAGTTGGATCTCCAAAGTGGATATTAGCGCGTTTTATAAGTGAAATTGTTTGTACTCTCTGAGCGGATGCTAATACTAATAAAGTAGCTACCTTCCTTGTAACAATACTAATATCTAGGTCCTCGTAAGGCCATAACGAAGCCAAGTAAGTCACCACTGGAGATGGATCCCATGTGAGTGCATACTTTGGTCTAGCGGGCTTAAGAACCGACACTCCCCTGCAAAAACGCTTAATTCTCTCATCCGAGCCCAAACTTATGTCTGATATCAAGGCAAGTGCCGACCGATATGTGTTTAATGTTCCATATGAGGTGATAGTTTCCATCTGATCCGTCAGGAATTCCAATACGAGCGTTACGTCAGGGTGGAACCAATCTAGTGAACGCTTTATGCAGAATTCCCACCAAAGCCTGATAGGTTTTGAATATTGGGCTATGGTTCCCTTAGCCAAGGATGCTAGGACTACCTCTAAGGATCGTTCAGGAAATCCTTTCCGACGAAATGCTTCGCTGATAATTTCCCTGCTGCCAGGGAAATGTTGGACCAAACCGGATGTTGTTTCCTAAAAGGCGAAGATAATAAATTAGGGCTCGGATCGAAAATAATCGGTTTCGCAACGCAAAATTTTTTGAACAGGGGAAACCAAGGTTGAGCAGGCCACCACGGAACAATTAGAACCCCTTCTGCCTTATCCTTTATAATCTTTCTTAAAGTTTTTGTGATAATAGCAAATGGGGGAAAAGCATAGAAGTAAACCCGACTCCAGTCTACTGTAAAGGCATCCACTGCAACTGAGAGGGGATCGGGGAACCACGAACAAAAACTATCGCATTTAGAATTAGCATAGGTCGCAAAAAGATCGATATCAAATGGGCCAAATTGGTCCGAAATTTCCTCAAACGCCGAAGCGTTTAGTTCCCACTCTGTCTCCGTTGAGATAACTCTGGATTCGGCGTCAGCAATATAATTATCCTCAGATGAAATGTACGACGCCAAAAGGTGTAAATTTCTAACCTCGCACCATTGCCAAATAACTTTAGCTAGAGCAGCTAGTTTCGGGAATTGTATCGAGCCCATCTTGTTTATATATGCAATTGCCGTAGTGTTATCAACACGTAACAAAATATGTTTAGAAGACTCGCTACTCACAAAGCACTTTAGTGCGTATTCTACCGCTTTTAATTCTAAAAAGTTTATATGCTCCGCTTTCTCTTCGTCTGACCACCAGCCATGCGTTGACTGATTTTCCATGGATGCACCCCAACCTGTGAGGGAAGCATCCGTATAAATTACAAAACTAAATTCAGGACTATTTAGTGGACTGGAAATAGGTGAGCAACGCAACGTGTTACTCCACCATTTAAAATCTGGCTGAAGAGACGATGGCAAGCGCATAGTTTTGTCGAAATCGTTGTCATATTCCCTGCACGCCCAAAATTTTTCTCTCTCAAAGTCTCTAGTATATAAGAAACCATAGGGAGTCGCCCGACAGATCGAGATCAGAGAGCCAATCAAGCTTGCAAATTGTCTAATTTTGCAAGATTTCATTTTGGAGAACTTTTTTATACGCTGCAGGTTTGCCAATCTCTTATCTTCTGGTAACTCAATAGACATTTCTCTAGAATTGAATATAAATCCTAAGAATTTCTTAAATTGACTAGGAGCTAAATCAGACTTGTCATGATTAACTATAAATCCCAGACTTTTCAGCAACCGAAGAGTTACTCTTACATTGGAGACACATTCACCTACTGAGTCGCCTAATAACAAAAAATCGTCTAGATATATTATGGATAGGAATCCCTTCCCTCTCAAAAAGGCCGCCACTGGCTTAAGAATTTTGGTAAATATATAGGGTGCTGTTGACAACCCAAATGGCAATGCTACAAATTCGTACAGCTTACTCTGGAAAACAAACCGTAAGAATTTCCTATGCGATTCATGGATCGGCACTAGTAGATATGCGTCCTCCAGATCAAGGGAGGCCATGAAACATCCAGGAGATATCAATTTGCAAACTGTTTCGATACTTTCCATTTT